TTTGATCTCTTTTTTAAGTTTATCGTAGAATCTGTGGTGATGATAGCAAAATCGAAATCGAAGGGTTTGTCGACTTTGATTATGCAGGTTGTATGGATTTCAAAAAGTCTATTTTTAGATATGTGTTCACTATATTCGGCATATTAATCAATTGGAAAACAACACTTCAGAAGGTTGTTGGCTTATCAACCACTGAAGCAGAATATATTGCTCTCACTGAAGTTGTGAAAGAAGCACTGTGGCTTAAGGGTTTTGCAAAGGAGCTGAAACTTCAAGGTCGAAGTATTAATGTTAAATGTGATAGTCAAAGTGCAATACACCTGTCGAAGAACTCAACCTATCATGAGTGAACAAAACATATCGACGTGAAGCTGCATTTTGTCAGAGAGATAATCGAGCGTGGTGAAGTCTAGGTGCTGAAGGTTTCGACTGAAGACAATGTTGTTGATATGATCACCAAGACGTTTCCAAGTTGCAAGGTTTTCCATTGTATGCAATTGATAAAGCTGCATGATGAAAGTTATTTTATTCCCTATTGTTTGTAGAGTTAGATCCAATGTGGAGATTTGTGAAATTTTGGGTCGCACTCTAGCTGTGTCGAGGAATAACTGTCATGTGTTTCGACAGGAGACAAGTATGAAGTCGAAGATGGATCGCATTTGGAGTCAAAGTCTGTTTTAATATATATTGTCGAAATATTTCTCGAATTTAGCTTTGTGTTAAGGATCAAATTGCTTAGTTAGCTTGGGTTATAAGTTAACTAATTAGTCTATATATATGCTAGATCACTCATATTGTTGAGTGAAGCCAATTGTGTTATTCACTTGTAATCTTTTTTAATATTGAGAAAGTGAATAGTATATCAATTTGCTTTAATCCTTCTTCTTCTTCTTCTTTCTTCTTTATCCTTTCCTCTTTTTCTCTTTGTTCTAACCGTTTTCATTGTTCACCCAAGAACTTCGTTTCTCAATCTTTATTTGTTAAAAAGTATCGTTTGTGATCACAATATTAAAAAATGATGACAAACCTTTCACCACGGGTGTTTAAATCAACCGTGGTTATAAGTGGCACATTCCTTTTTTTTTAAGATATATATAACACTCTTAGTTCATTCACTTTCGTCATAGACGTACTTAGACAAACTTCATCTTTTGTCTCCGAACTGTGAGGGCAAACCCTCATATAACATACATACTTGAGTTTTGATGATGACAAAACGCAATCATGGATGAATCATCTTCTCGACTCTACCTCTACAAGACAAATGCAATATTTCACCTCTCATATCCTTCTTATATCCATCTTACTTGCCATATTAAATCCAATATATGTGGAAGACCATTTGTTATGTCTATATCTATAAAAACCACAAAAATATGTATTTTTGCAGATTTGCAGGGTTTGAGTCGACCACAGGTCGACGCATGGATCAGTGCAAAATCCCACGGATCAACGCATACTGTGAAGATTTTGAAATATGCCTGAAACTGCAGGTTGTGCGTCGACGCATAGTCCTTCTATGGTCGATCATTCGCTCGTTTATGTTGTTGCTGAAGTCTTTCCACTTTGGTTGAAAATTTGTTAAGTCAGTTGGTCCTTGGTTACTATATAGATGTTTTATGTTCATTTCTCTATAACAATTGAAACATTGAGTCAATTGCAACCCAACAAGAAAAGTGAAATAGGTGTCATCAAATCTCTTCATCTTCATCCTCAACAGTTCACAACACAATAATTAAACACAACAATTCTTGGTGTGCTTTGTCGTTTGTTCAAGGTGATAAGGTCCGAAGCCGTTGATCGGAAATCTGGTTCGGGTTGATTTTTGTGGCAGGTTTTTCTTGAATAAAACGTTGAAGGTTTTTCCCTCCAAGATTCGGAGAATTTGGGGGTTTTTGGTACGGATCGTCTCTACCAACTTTCAGCTGAGCGAAGGTGATTGAGAAGCGGAAGGTTTCGTAAATCTAGTAGCTGGAATCAGTGAAGTGTACAAGAGAGATCCGGGTTCGATTTATGTGTGTTTGAGATCAGTCGGGCCGAGAGTTTGAAGAACAAAAGGTTCTTCAACAAGGGGCTTTAATCGGAGGTCTACTCACAACAATCGGAGAACTTGATTCAACTCGAATCAAGGAACAAGAAGCGAAAGCATCATCAACATCAAGAGGGCTTGTTTGTATATTTTGCTTATCAATTATTGTATAAACATTTCAACTCTACAGGTGGTATCTATTATATTGATCTCAATTCTATTATTAGAATTGAGGTCAGACGTACCCCAAAGCGAGGACGGCGGGGGAACTGCCGCAACAAATCTTTGTCTCCTTTACTTTTCAGCTCTTTCATTTTTGCTTTAAAATTGAGTAATTTTAGTATAAGCAATTCTATTGAAATTAGTGTTGAATTGAGTAAGTGCTTATCATTGTTTTGAACTCTATTACAATAACATATTGTACAAGGAATTTAGAGTTACTTACTAAAGTCAAAGCTCACCTGGAGTGTCTCGCACACCAAGTGTTTGATAAATTGCCTACACCAAAGTTCACTTGGGTTATTTTCATATTTTGTGGGCATTGTGGAGCATTGAAAATAGTCCTACTAATTAGTGGTAAAATCAATTGATAGTGTGACTAGTGTGTTGAATCTATTTGCTCATTATCATATCCATAGGCTAGACGCATATCCGGTCTTTTAATAACGGTTCGTTTTAGACGTAATTTTTTCACGGCCGCTTCCGCAATTAAAACATTTTTTAAAACCAATTTTTAATTGGTAAGTGCCGGCTAATTTTTAATTGGGATCTATTCAACCCCCTTCTAGATCCGCGCAATCTTCTAACACGAACTTCTTTCATTTACGAAATATTATTCGTCCACTAAACCAAACTTGAAAACATCATTTCTTCCCCCAAAAGAAACTCAGAAACATTGCTTCCATTAACGTGTTTCAGTTTGTTTATGTTTAACAATTCTAAAGGTAAAATGTTATTGTTTAACAATTCTATTTATTTATTTATTTTTATTATTGTTCGTGTTGTTTTTGTTGTTGTTGTTTTTGTTGTTGTTGTTATCATTGTTGTTGTTGTTGTTCTTACTTTTGTTGTTGTTCTTGTTGTTTTTATTGTTGTTGTTGTTATTGTTATTGTTGTTATTGTTATTGTTGTTCTTGTTATTGCTCTTATTGTTCTTGTTATTGTTCTTGTAGTTCTTGTTATTGTTGTTGTTGTTATTGTTGTTGTTGTTGTTGTTGTTCTTGTTGTTATTCTTATTTTTTGTTATTGTTATTGTTGTTGTTCTTGTTGTTGTTTTTGTTATTCTTGGTGTTCTTGTTATTGTTCTTTTTCTTCTTGTTATTGTTCTTATTATTCTTGTTAATCTTATTGTTCTTGATGTTGTTGTGCTAAAATATTTAATATTATATATTGTGATGAAAGTTATAAATGTAGTCAGGCAAAATATGTGGCAAAAATAAAATAAAAATGGTGATAGACCTTTCACAACAGGTATTTAAAACAATATTGATTATAGGTAGCGCGCTTTTTAGTTTTCTACAACGGTCATACGACTGTGATTGTAAGTAACACATATATAACCACACACTATGTAACAACGGTCGGTCCTGCGTGATAATATATCTTTTTTAACCGTTATTTTATGTGTTTTTTTGCAGTAGTGATCAGAGCTTTACATAAGCTCATCTCAAGCTTTCCTCAAACTGTTTACAAGTTTACCTTATAACTTTTAAATCTATTTCGAAAAGACTATAAGATAAGCACATTCTTGAATAAATAATTATAGCACAACATCATTACAACATAACTCTCGGGTAAAATTTTCCACTCTCATAACATTCAACTCTAATGAAAAAGAAATTTATAAAAGAATGAAAAAAAAAATAGTTGAAAAACTTATTTAGAAAGCTAGTTTTAAAATGAAGAGAAGTTTTATTTATATAAAAAAATAATGGATAGGCATTTTTCATTTTTCATGTTTTAATCGATTAAAATATAATTAATATGTTAGTTCAAGACAAAATAGAAAACTTTGATTTTCAAGTTATCAAAATTTGAAAAAGACATAGAGGATATGTGTAATTAGAAATTAATAAGTGATAGATTTAAATTGTAGGAATCATTCCTAAAATTATATTGAATCTACTATATATTTTTAAATAAAAAATAAATAATATTTTTAAATTTCGACTAATAAAAGTGTTCATATTTAATGTAGATTATATTACTTTTATAAGATCTGATTATTAGTTATTAGAGCATATGTCAAGTTCTAAATTATCAAGAAAAAAAAGCTACTAATGGCTTGGTCGAAGAAGAATCCATTCGCAAGTGCTTGTCATTTTCATTCCTATTTTCTATTCTAAACAGTTACATTTAATTCTTTTCAATTCAAAGGTTTTAACTGTACTAGTAAACTGTGCTTTTTAATAAATCAGTCACAAACCTAATCTTTCTCCGTTGCAAATTTCAACCAAAAAAAAAATCTAGGCTTAATTGACACATTTTACCCAGCAAAAAGATTGATTGATTCTTTTAAGCATGTTGAACATTTTCATAGTGATTGGAGCATGTGTGTGAGAAGAGTACTCAGTTTCAATATACACAGGCGACTTTTTTTCTTTTCCCCCAAAGGTTTCAATAAACTAGTACTTTTGGATTGGTGTCATGTTTGACCAAACAAAATTAATGTCACATTTTGGCCCCAACAAGTGAATTAGCTAGTACAGATAAATCTCAGGATTAATCATTCATCAGAAGAACAATTAATTAACCACCAAAATTTTAAGCATAATTAATTAATAATTATACAATAATCAGTTTCTCTGCGATCTTAAGCATAATCCCTATACAGTAACTAACTCCCATCAATGCTATTTTTTCATATTTCCCTTTTCTGTTACTACAAATCAAAAACAAAAAGTAGTTATATTTAAACAGCAACAACACCCTTTACAGAGAGACCTAATAGTAAAAATGGAAACATCTAAGATCAGTTGTTTTCATCGGAATTATATCCATTTGGTATCGGCGGTGTTCTAGAAGCTGAATCACCTCCGTCGTCGATTCCGTTGTTCCGTCCACCATCGCCATACGCAAAAGCCGTCATGGATCTGATGAGACTCTTGACTACTCTGATCTTTACTAGTCCCCTTCTCGGCGGGAGCTGTGTTAGAGTAGTTTGGCGTTTCATGATTTGGGATTCCATTTCAGATATCTATGCCTGAGAGAGAGAAAGTAGAGAGAGAAACAAGAGAGAGAAAGTAGAAAGAGGTGGAAATGATTGTTGATGATTGATGAGTTGAGTGAAGCATAAGCGCGAGTTATAAAATAGAAGCGAGTGTGATACTGTACTGACTCAGTAACTTGCTCACCAAGATTGATTGACTCGTTTTAACTCGGTATCTCTTCTAGAGTATTTGTTTTTATCACTATTCTGAGATTTTTTGCTAACCTGTTATTCTGAGATTTCTTGCGAACCAATCTGAAGTTGCAAAGTGGTTTATATATATTTAACTTTTGGTTATTTAAGTCAAACACGTGCCAATGATTTAAGAAAATTTATTAGTTGAATAAATTTCTATTTCAAGTTTACTTCATAAATATAACATATATTTGACGTATGTACAATAATGCAAAAAGGTAAAATTTATATTATAAAAAATAAAAATAAAATCTTGTGCCGATTTGTTTACCAATGTTGGTTTTAATAGTAGTTTCCTCACTATTTTTTATTCCATTCCTAGTGGTATTAAGTAGGATTTTGTACAGAATAAACTAGAAATGTTTTCATTTAGATTTTCTTCTTTTTAATGACTTTTTAATTGTCTTCTTTGTAATGCTTCTTTTTGCATCATATGATATTGTGTTTATAAAAAAAACTATTAATTCTGATTAAGAAAAACTTATAAATTAATTTAAATAGTGATTTTATCAAATTATTATTATAATTATAAATATAAAATGAAAAGAATAATTTAGAAATGGTAATATAATATTAGACGGTAAATCAGAAGAAAAAAAATTAAAACTTTTAATTTACAAAATATGTATTTTAATAGATTTAATCTATTTAAATAATTAAGAAGAACCACAATCTTTGAAATTTTACTATATAAATAAAACTATATAATAAAAATATTTTAAACATGAAGTTTATCTTTTGGATCATCATATTGTTGGGTTTGGACTCTCTTTTCTATGTAGAGAAAGACTTAAATATAATTAAACCATTTGTCTCACTTATTTAAGTGGAGATGATCAATTTAAGGTTGAGAGAGATAGAGGAAAAATAAGGATTTAAAAGAGAGAAAAGATGAGAGAAACTTACTACCATTTTTCTGCAACCAGTCTCACTAAATCGACGATCTCTGATTTATTAACCATCAGATCAAGCTCAAATTTGGAAGACAAGTTTGCAAACATTGTATTTAACTTTTGAACGCTTAGTATTTCAAAATAAGGTTTGAGCCGAGAGATATTTGGTGTGCGTTGAAGCGGTAGATTTGGGTCATTTTTCAGCTTTTTTATTCTTATTTCTAAACTAGTTTGCTTAGTGATTTGCAGTTGTTAACACTAGTTTGTGAATTACTTTAAAACTTTCTTATACCCTTGATTGATTATAGTGGAGTTATTTCTTTGGTCTGAACGATTCATGGTTTTTACTCTCATATTGTGGGAATTTCCACGTTAAAATATAGGTGTTCCTTTGTGCCTTTATTTGTTCGATTTTTTCGTCTTATATTTGTTATTGATCCTCAACTTTATATCTGATACGTATTGGTCTATTATTGTCTTAATTTCCCATTCGAGTGGTATCAGAGCTCCTGATTAAGGGCAATTTTACTTGTTTGAATTATTTAGTGAAATACAAAGATGAATATGGTATTGTTGAATGATTATAATTACCATTTATAGAAGGGCATGATGAAAGACTTGCTATTTGTGAAAAGATTGAATTTACTTGTTTTTAGTTCCTCAAATTCAGATTATGTGTTTGATGAAGAATGAGAGTTTGAACATCAACATGTATGTGGTTTTATTCGACAATCATATTGCTAATGACATGCACAAACTTTTTGGGAGAAGAATGGGACTTCTATTTCAGATCACTTGAGTGAATTTCAAGGGCTCCTTGATCAGATGTCAGGAGTGAGTACCAAATTTTATGATGAAATTTTTGGACTATTTGTATTGCTATCTTTACCAGAGTCTTGAGAGAAGTTTCAGGTTTCTATCACAAGTTTTGCTCCTAGAGGTTTTATTTCTTTGGAAACGGCTAAGGGTGGTATTCTTAATGAGGATATGAGAAGGAATGCAAAGAGTTCTTCATTTCAATCTGAGGTACTTGTCACTGAAAATAGGTGGAGAGGTCATAAAAAGGAACCGAAGGGTGGTAGAGAGAATAGCATAAGCAAGTCCAAGACGCGATACAAGAATCTAAAGTGTCATTATTGTCACAAAATAGGACGCATACATAAGCATTGCTATCAATGGAAAAGAGATAACAAAGACAAGAAGGATAAGTCTAAACAAAGAGACCATGAAGATTATGATGATGATCATATTACTATGCTACTAGTGATGATCTTGTTATTCTTCGTGATCACAAGTCTGTTAATCTTGTGTGAGACAAGAGCATGTGGATAGTTGATAGTGGTGCTACATTCCATGTTACACCAAGGAAGGATTTCTTCACATCTTATACTTCTGTTGATTTTGGATTGTTGAATATGGGTAATGATGATGTAAGTGCCTTTAATTGACTTCATTTTATGGCAAAACATCAGAGTGTGTATGGATGTCATGACTGATGTTATGACATACATTATGCAGGGTAAGTTGAGTTGGATGTCATACTGAATGTCATGACACTGATCGTATGACATCAGGCGCGCAGGTTTAGTTTTTTGGTATTTAGAATGAGGAAGCTCAGGCTAGAATTTAGGAAACTTTGTAGAAGCTCAAGCTGGAAGTCAGGAAACATTTTAGAAGCCCTGGCGAAATAAAATGTCCCTGACCTAAATGGTAAGTGCATATTCTTAAAGAGAGGTTTGGGTAAACCTAAATTCTGCACAAAGGCCCAAAGGAAATCAACTGCTATAAATAACAGAGGATGAGTCCTAATTAAGTAGCTCTTGACTGTAGAAATTAACAAGGGTAATTTGTGAGTGAAGAAGGTTGTTCTTCACGTGTATTGTGTGAGTGAAGAATTATTGTTCTTCACGTGTGTTTTAGGATACTTGTGTGCCAAGCAATTGTATGTTGTACAATTGCATTGGTTTAGAGTGTATGAATTGTTGTGTTCATTGTCTCACTCAAAGCTGTTAAGCAAGAGTGTGTGTCTCTTGATCAAAGCTGTGAAGCAAGATCAAGGAGTGGTTTTTGAAGTGTATCTTCATATCTTTTTTTAATTGTGTTTTTGATATCACTGAGGTGATTGAGGGGGAGTGAGTAGGTATACTCAGGTCTAGAGGTCTCTAGGCAGAAGTGTCATTGGGTAGGTTTTAGGTGAAAAGTGCAAGTTGGGTGTTTGACTCTGAATTAATTCTATTGATAGTGAATTTCCTCCCTGGCTTGGTAGCCCCCAGATGTAAGTGTTATTGACACTGAACTGGGTGAACAATTACTGTGTTATTTACTGCTTTTCATTTATAACTTATTAGTAAGTACAGTAGTCTATGTTACAGTGGATGTTATAACCTCTGTGATAACATCCATCGTGTGCTTGCCAGAATTTCAATTGGCATTAGAGCAGGCTCCCTGTCTGTTAATTCGGTGAGATCTAGGGAAGATAAATTCTGGTACTATGGATAAAGACATAGGATTCACTAATAAACCACCAATTCTAGATGGTTCAAATTATGACTACTGGAAGCCTAGGATGATTGCCTTCTTAAAGTCTTTAGACAACAAGGCATGGAGAGCTGCAAATTCAGGATGAGAACATCCAGTAAAGACTGACAAGGATGGAGTATCTATGCTAATTCCTGAAGAGGAATGGAACAAAGAGCAAGAGGCCTCAGCTCTTGGGAACTTTAAAGCATTGAATGCACTCTTCAATGGTATAGACAAAAACATCTTCAGACTGGTACACTATTTGAACTGGAAAAGGAGGTGTGGGACACTCTCAAAACTACTCATAAGGGAACCTCAAAAGTCAAGATGTCTAGACTACAAATGTTGACCACCAAATTTGAAAGTCTAAGAATGAAGGAGGATGAGACCATTCATGAGTTCTACATGAATGTCCTTGAACTTGCAAACACCTCAGGAGCCTTGGGAGAAAAGATGGTTGAAGAGAAGCTTGTGAGAAAGATTCTCAGGTCCTTACCCAAAAGGTTTTCCATGAAGGTCACTGCCATTGAAGAAGCCCAAGACATATGCAATATGAAGGTGGATGAACTCATAGGTTCTCTCCAAACATTTGAGATGGGCATGTGTGATCAGTCTGTGGGAAAAAAAAACAAAAGCATAGCTCTTGTCTCAAACACTGCAGATGATTCAGATAAAGAAGATAATGAAAGCAAGGAGAAACTCTCAGAAGCTGTAGCTATGCTTGGGAGACAATTCAACAGACTCATGAAAAAAATGGAACAGAAGGGTAAAACCAATGTCAAAAACATCCCATCTGACATTGGCAGAAGAACTAAGTCTGAAGAAAATGTCTACCAAGGCAAAGGAGTTAAGTGTTATGAATGTGAGGGTTATGGTCACATTAAAACTGAATGTCCCACTTATCTCAAAAAGGAGAAGAAAGGACTTATGATTACCTGTTCTGATGGAGACTCTGAGAGTGGATCAGAAGAAGAATCTGCAAGACATGTCCCAGCTCTAACTGGCACATGTATAGCAGATAATGATTGTAGTGATGAAGAGTTAACTTTTGATGAACTGACAGCCTTATACAAACAGCTGTACATCAGAAGTACTGAAGTATGCCAACTAGGGGAGAAGCATAAGAAAATCATCAAGAATTTAGAGGCTGAGAAGAAGAAGAATCTTGCAATGATTGACTCACTTAACAATAAGGTCAAAATGTTAAACTCCAAACTTGATCAGATGACAAAATCGGTCAGGATGCTGAACCCTGGGACTGACACTCTAGAAAAAATCCTACAGTGTGGTCAGGAAGCTGGAAATAAGTCTGGAATGGGATGTGTCGGTGAGAAGACATCAATCTTGGGATACAAGAAACCAAAGGTTGAA